GATAAGCGTCCGAGGTCGGAAGGACGAGTAAATAAATAAGGACGTCCATGGTTCCATTTGAATCATTATCATAGATTATCATATCATCCATGATAGACGGTATCATCCCATACCCCGCACGATCGTCATTCCCTGATCATATCCGGATGAATTTTGAATTCTAAACGTATTTGAACGTAGTCCGGGAAGTCCGATAAGGGAAGTTGGTGTGGCACTTAATATTGGATAGTATAATACGGAGTACCTCCGTTGAGATAATGGCTTATCATCCAAGCCCATATATACGAGAACGGATGTGCCAAGTTAAAAAGAGGGGGTGAGATAACCGAACAATTAATGAGGTGCCACTTCCCCGGATTTTAGTCTCAGCTGGTATTTCCTCAAATTGAACTAACCTCGTATATTATGTACTAGTCTAATGTTATATCAGAAAAAGTACTGCCGAGCCATTCTTCCTCTATAAAGCTAAAGCTTTTTATATTTTCAGTCCGATTGTCTAAGCTCAATGTGACTTGAGACTAGGATACGTTGAAAGAACCGGCACACTGCATATGGCCTGTGCAACTACTCCACGGAGTATACATCTACACATGCATTTGCATTGCTCCATGTACGGAGTACAATAGGGATCCCAGCCTCCTGTAGGTCTCTTTTTTTCTCCGTCTACAACTCCGCATTACTGCAGGAAAAGTATAGAGATTAGAATTTTCAAAGTCAATGCAAGGGTCCTCATTGCCTGAGGCATTTTTCAGATCGTGTGCTCCATCGTGCGTAAGACCTTTCATGTTGTGTATGTTCATGCTTGACATGTCGAGTTCTTAGCCGTTGCCGAGTCAACACGGGTATGGTTCCCCCTCCTTTTTTGCCTTACAGATCGAATTCAGTCGCCTTGTGAATGGGTGGCATTGTATTGACAAGCTACTACAATTGTACAGCATATTCCTCAACCCCGTAGTTCATTACTTGGCTTATGCCCCTCTTGCTCTATTCTCTATTCGTAGTTCCCATCATTACTGTAGTCATCATCTTATCATAAAGTTGACATCTTGGCATACCACTCTGGTAACGGCCAAGTCATGTGGACTATACGGAGTATATTTCCCAATAATATAGGTGGCAAAACACATATAGAAGCCATACATAAACAAACTGTCTACTCAATCTGCCACATTCCACAGGGTCCTGTCAACGTCATTCCCTGACATCCCCCTTTCTGCTCATGGTGGATCATTGTTACACCTAAATTAACTCAAAAATACAATAAAAAAGACCTCATAATTGAGTGACGTTGGGAGACCTTGTTTGAAACGGAAAATGAGTAATATGGTGGAGACTGGACAAATGGACAAATGGAGAATTTGCTTCTATTTACAGTATTGGAGTTGGATTGGTACTTATTCAGCTCCGCTTGCATCTAGACTTTGTATTTTATCATGGCCTATTATCGAGTCTAAGTGGAACCATAGTCGTGTTGGAAATCGGCAAACGAATTCACAACCTGTCCCTTAAAGTTGAGTCTAGTCTAATAGTGAATATGATAATTAACAGAATGGAGTACTGTTGTACGCTACCTTCACTATTGACATGTTGTGGATCTGTACACATGGCCACGTACGCAGATCACATAGGCTGATCTATTTTCAACCTTCATATTGTCCCTGAGCCAAATTTGCTTTCAATTACTCCGTAGTTCCTTTAGAATCATTTTCTATCATGTTTTAAGTTTGTTTTTTAGTGAATACCGAAAAGTCAAAGACCTTTGGCTTGTTTTATGTTACTTGGAAGATCTACACACGATATATATATTTGGTGGATAACCAGATAACCAACTCAACTTATTTCTGAAACTTATTTGAACTACATAGTACCAAATCATTTAGATTAGAAACTTCAGAAACTTCTATACATCCTAACATCCATACATCGTAGATAGATTCACTTGTTGAAGTCGCGCCGGAGGCGATGATTCATAGCAGGATGGCTTCTGATTGGCCGAGACCCCCAGCGTTCCGCGATAAAAAAAAAGACCGACTTAATAGACCCCTAGGATGACTCGAGAGAATCTCCATTCTCGATGATGCAAAATGAGCAAGCGGTCGCTCGAGGAGTCCAGGGCAGGCGCACATATGTCGCCCGAGCCCGATAGCAATGGCCTGCTGCCCATCCAGGACTTGCTCTCTCCTGGCGAGGAAGAGCACGGTCAATCATCTGGTCCCTCCAAGAGGCCTAGGAACTTCATTGCTACTGTTGTAAGTGCCTTTGTTGTGATTATTGTATTCTACGACGCGACCAACTCATCCAGAGGCCGCTAACCCCGAGTAATAGGCGTGTGAGACTTGTCGCTTGAAAAAGACGAGATGCGACGAATCGCGGCCGAGGTGTGGACTATGTAAGTCGCTTGGTCTAGAGTGTGTTTATAATGAGCGTAAATCTTCAAAGTAAGTCGCCTTTGGTAGTTTTTTTTTTTTTAAATATCTCAGTTGCTTATACGATTGCAGACGCGATCAATCTCTCACGATGATCATGAGCACTCTCCATCGACTAGAGACAAAATTGGAAAACATCCCAACGTCTATTTTGAGTGATCTACAATCTCTTCGGAGCCAGATTCGTGCTCCTGTTCATGAACCGCAGACGCAGCTATCGCCTGCCTTTCGCGATGATGGCAATCAGCGCCTATCAATGCTGCCTACCATAGGTGATAATTTCACACCCGCGGCAATCGGGGAAGGGGATGACTTCGAGTTTGAAGAGAATCAAGCAAAGCCAGACTCTGCAGGCCGGGTCTCTATCTCTTTCAGTCAGCACGGTGTCATAGTGTGGCCTGGTGCAAGACATATCCTCCCGAAGCAGTTACTCGCTGCATATGAAATGCTCGGGAAAAACTATGTCATTGAACTGGAATCAACACGGCCTCCGCTGCCAATGTTCATCAGTTCTTATCCATTACAAGCGGGTGATCACTGGCTAGAAGTACTTCCGTTGGCAATGATCAGGGGTCTGGCGGATGCATTCTTCAGTGTCTTTAACCCCTCCACCCCGATCATGGACAAGGGGTTCTTCTTTTCCTTCACACTTGGCTCAGCCATCGAAAGTGGCTTTGGATATAACCTAGAGAGCTGCCTGGTGCTTAATGTGCTCGCATTAGGCTGTCTCGCTGTTCTCGCCTACCAAGAAGGGAACTACCCTTTACCAGGTACCCAGGGCCATCGCTTCGAACCCCCAGAATGGATGAACGTGGTTTATGAAGAGCAGCCTGGACTGCGATTTTTCAACGAGGCTCGGCGACGTATCGGCTTCTTGATGTGCGACAACGACATCCAAAGTTGTCAATTCTACCTTCTTTCCTCGTATGTATCCATGCTCCAAGCTTACTTCTATGCAGATTGATACTCATCTTCTATAGTGTATATTATAGCCAGATCCCTCGTCCGATGGATTCTTGGACCATGATTTCACGTGCCGCTACGTGCTGTCTATCAATGTTGACGAAGTCAGTCTTGCCCTCTACATCAAAACACCTAGGATAATACTGACTCGTATGCAGCCATAATGTGAATTTCGATGAGTGGGAAGGCGATATGAAATCCCGCGTATATTGGAATTGTCTAATGCACGAGACCATCCTCGTACAAGAGCTGCACCTCCCACCAAGCGGCCTCTCTCGCCTGGAAGAAAAAGTCCCAATTCCCAAATTCATCGGCTTCGAAACAACCGGCTACGGCTCAACCCGTTTCAACTCATCAAGCGTAGTCGACGACTCATACTTCCAATATCATTTCCTCGCCCAGGTAGCCCACCGCATCATCCTCACGCGGATCCGCCATTCCCTCTACTTCTACTGTGAGTTATCCTACCATCCACCCAGAAAAATCCATCTAATATCAATCCACCATCTAGCGGACTCAGGAACCTTCCCCCTCCCGGCAATAAACACAGAGCTACACCACCAACTAGAACAATGGCGCACAAACCTCCCAACAGCAATCCAATTCAACAACGCCCCCTACTCATCCCACCCAACCCCCGCAACACCCTCCATCCACCCCTCCCCATCCGCCTCAATAGCATCCCCAGCCCACCTTTCCTCCCCAAGACCAAGACACACAGACCCGAACAGACCCCTCTCCCCGGCAATAGCAGTAGCAGACGCCATGCTTAAAGGCCGGTACATGATCGCGCGTTTCCACATCGGCCGACCATATCTCTACAAAGCCCTCCGAATCCCGCATCTCCTAACAGATGAGGACTTCGTGCAAGTGCGAAGTGGTCTCCAGAATGCAATGGACTGGCCAATTACTCAGGGCATCTTCCGAAAAATGAAGAGCTGTATTCCGATTAGGTTTGCTTTTTGTTCGCAGTGAGTTGTCCTTCTATATCTTCCTTTGAATCAGATAACTAGTTGAACGCGGTTAACTGACTTTTAAAGATTCTTTGGCCAAATCTTGCTCTTCTATTGCATAGCCCATTCGCCGAGTGCGCGTGTCCGTGAGACACTGCCGGATGGATGGGAACGTTGGAATGAGGAGATGCTTGGATTTTTGGAGGACTGTGCTGTGCATAGTCCGGCTATTTCGCAGGATCTGGAACTGCTGCGGTATCTATGGCCTGAGAATTAGGTATTCTGTGCTTTTATGAGGTATATTCTATGAGAGGTATTCATTTGTATCTCCTTTCGAACTATTCTGGGAATTTGTCTATTTGTGCATGGAGTTGGGTAGATCATTTACAGCGTGCGCTGTATTTGTGTGATTTTTCTTTGAGGTGTGTACAAAATCTAATGTTCGGATCCGAATCACATTCAGTGTAGCCATGTCTATATACGAGGGCTGGGCCTCATTTATTGTGTAGCACCTGATTAAGAAAGGAAGGGTATTGCGAAAAAAGCAAAAGCAAAACTAAAGAAGACTTTGGAGGAATATTGTCTGAGCAACAAACGAGAAGGATATTCGATGGCGCCTCATGCTAATGCGAACACATCATTGATTGCGTGATGCATATCATAGCGCCCAATCCTCGGCTGATTCCGAGCTTGTAATGAACGGTTTGTCAATTTGTTTGATGGCGTGGTCACCGCAGAGGATACTGCGAGGAAATATGGTTAGAGAGATATACTATTGATAAGCTCATAGGAAAGAACACATACCAAGCTTCGGCGACTAGCCCATCCAATTCCTTGACAATATCCTCGCGTCGCGAGGCAGAGATATCGCCACTGCTGAGCTGCGCCTGCAGATCCCGAATATACTTTTTCTTACCACCAGCGCCGTCCAAGACTTCCCTACCCAGACAGTCACTGTGGAAAGCATGCTGGCAGGGAAAGACGAAGAACTGACGACTGAGAACGGGCAGCGAACAGATCCAGCATCTCTCACCTGGCTCAACGATGGCGTAGCGAGTATCGAGACCAGAGATTTCACCGCGGATTTGGCGGGCTGTCAGGGCTGAGTTATCCATTTCCTGGCGGAGCGAATCAATATGGCGCGAGTAGTCCTCCAATGCAGTACAAATCTCATCCTTGAAATCGTCGATGACGACGAAATCCGGGAAGAATGGGATCAAGTCTTCGATGCGGAGCAGCTCGCAGCGGCGCAGGAATTCAATCGCATCTTTGATGCCCGTGCCCGGTTGGCGGATCTTTTTCTCGGCGACAAGGAGCCATAGCTTTTTGCGGAGCTTGTCGTTGCCCTCCGGGCGGTCTGCGACGATCGCGGCAAGTTCTATGTCATTGTGCTCCAGCGCTAGCTCTACAGCCTGTAGATATTGTCCCATTGTGCTGTAGATGTGAATGCATGACTGAATTCGTTGATTTTGAATACATAGGCGAAGTGCAAAGTCTGCATCGTATGGAGGGGGGGATGATGGTTGAGATTGGAGATAAGTAAGCAGCCCAGCCTCAGACGATGAAGGACTGGAAGCATGTATTGAGATAAGGGTGTTGTGGACTGCTGCAGATGGATTTGGGTGGTTGACAATGATGAAGTTCAGATAGCGGACGGCTTGATTCTGGCTGAGAGAAGAGACACTGGCAGATTTGTTGTAATTCAACAACGCGGGTATCAGTCTCTCAGGATCAAGGTTCGTCTGTCGCATCAGAATATCAACTAGGTCTGTCGGCTTGTGTGTCATCAGCACACTGCTATATTTGTAGAACACATCGGCTTCACTTTGCCGCTGTAAAACCTTCAAGGCTTCCAGCCATTTCTCGCGCTGGATCCAGTACGATAGAACATAATTGTAATCGTTCGTAGCAGTTGCGAAGAACAACAATTCTTCCTCTCGCCCGTGGCTGCTGATAATATCATATACTGTTTTCTTGTCCAAGTCTGCTTTGTGGCTGTTCACAAACTCTTGGAAATCAGCTCGAATGCTGCCAAGCTGATCCTTGATTTCTCCAGTGCTTGCGCCTTCTGTCAATTCAGCTTTGGTGGCGATATTGTCATCGAGAGAATTCAACTTTGACATGAACAGTTCCACAAGCCAGCTTGCGACCATCACCCTTTGCATAAGTGAGGCCTTCTTGTATGTTGCCAGCTGGGAGAGGAGGTAGTTCCGCAAAGCATCGTGCTCTTTATGATCAATCATAGTTAGACAGACCTCCTCGAACCCTTTGCTACTCTTACCCCATACTTTGGCTGCCTCGAGGAAGTTACCCTTGCCTGCCAGAAAATCACCCGAAGCAGTCATAACAGCATCTCGCTGGGCGGCGCCTCGGGCATACTGAAGAGCCTCATCGAACTTTTGCTCTTTCAAAAAGATTTTCCAGACATCTCTGTCCTCGTCACCTGCTACAACTTCAAAAATGGCCTTGCTGGTGAAGAGCCAATATGTATTTTTGGTGAGATCAGTCAAGAGGCCCAGCGCGCTCTGCCCAGCTTCTAACACGGGTTGATCGTGCACAACTTCCTGACTGAGACGATTGACTGCAACCACTCTGCCCCCAACAAGTGCTAGGACATGCCACTGTGACAGAGTCATGGCAGAAATCGGGTCTTGTATCAACTTGCGCCCTCCTCGCGGCGATTCTGAAGCTGGAAATATTGAGCGCGCAAGCATATTTGCGGTCCTGAATGGAGACTCCGAAGCAAGTTGGCCATGGTATATCCCCTCGGAACTGAGCCACGCAAACTGTTTTTCGGTATATCCTTCGGCCTGATAGCTCTCTGAAATTGTGGGCGAAATTGCCAGCGAAGATGGCGCAGAGCTAGACGAGTTTGGAATCTCGTGGGTCACTGGCATCTCACGCTGGAAAAGCTCCGAATACACGCCGCTTTCCCTCCCATGTCTTGAGACTCCTGTCCGGCCGATGAAATGCAATAGCTTCCCATAGGTTGCCACAAGTACCCTTCTTTGATCAGGCTTAGAGGACACCGGTTCCACAGAGATCCCAACCACCGGAGAGGCGCCTGGCACCTGGTAGACCGGGGTAGTATACTTCTCCTGCCGGTAGCTGGAGGGTTCAATATAAGTCTCGTAGACGTTGCCATCAGTGGCACCAATGAGGATCTCGCGAGTAGAGGCGGTGGGTAAAGAGGGGTTCCAAGCAACACTTTCAATTGATACGCCTTTTAATCTTGTCAGGGGTTTCGGTTGTCGCGACGGTGACTGGGCATGGAGATAGTAATTTTCGCCGAGGGTTGTGGTGATAATCAAATGAGATGCCGACGGATCGAGGAACATGCGCCGAATCACTCCAACTTCAGAGGATTTCTTGGGGAGATCAATGTCTGTTATTCACAGACATGGTTAAGTCAGCTTGTTGTAGCTAGCATTTGCTGCGGGGAAGGTTTGGAAGCCTACCTTCGACATCTTCAGGGGAATCAAGATCGATGCGGAGAATGCGATTAGTTGATAAGGCTAACACAAGCACATTATTCGCGACTTGCGCTGCGACGAAGTCCGCCGCTACGGAGAATGCCAATTGCACCCGTTCAACGTCAAACATGGGGAGGGAAGAGCTCAGTGGCTCCATTAGGTTGCTCGGAGCAACATAACTGCTGGATCCGTCCAGCGCCATGGTGCGCTAGCTGTAGGGACGCTATGTCATGCCGCTCATACAAGAGTTGAGGCAAGTTGAATGTCTTGCGAGTTGATGCAGGACGGAATGGGCTCTTGAGGTCGGAATGCGGAGGTCTAGTGCCTTGACACCTGAGGCCAGAACCTGGATCATCAAATCAGGACTATTAATCCATCCATGGATAGATACCTACATGTATTTACTCATGTCTAGATTCATGTATAGAAGCAAAAGCAAACAAATATTTGTAGACAACTGTTAATTTCAAAATAAATTACAAACGCTCATGCATCAGGGTATCATCACTTGTGAAACATGCCATAGCTGGGCTGGGTATCTCAAAAAGAAAAAAAGGGAAATACTGGCATCACCGGCCTGGCTCACATCACAATACATTCCCGATCCAATTTGCTGCCCTTCTCCTTGGATTTCTCCTTTGCCTTCCCTTTGTGCCTCTCATGATCCTTCGTTTGGCCTCTTCCACGCTTCTCCTTGTTCTCAACATTGAGGGCAGCTGGCCCAAGTTTCATTTCGTCAACAGTATCATCAATCTCCAAAGCATCTCCTTCTTTTACCTCAACAAAACCGTCACTGCTAATTCTGTCCCGACTAAGCCGTTCAGCAAAGCGTGAAAAAGTGGCACTGATGCGGTTTTCACCGGTTTGGCTGCCAGCACGACTTCCGGGAGTACTCCTGGCCGATCGAGACCCACGGCGTGAGAACGCCCCCTTAGTACTCACTTCTTCCATCGATGCCAGCCTAGGCGATGATGACGGAACAGACCGCGGCTGAAGACCAGCTGGATTACTGGTTTCTGAGAATGCTATGCTGGATCGCCTTGCAATACTGGCTAATGTTGGCGCATCAGTCTCGCATGGCTTCGTGACCTCGACACTTGGTCGGTCAGGGGCAAAGTCCTCGAAGCTGAAGTCTGCGTGGTCAGCTATGGTGCTGCCGTCGGAAGCCCGCGAGGACGGTGCATTCGGAATGTTGGGCGCAGACGGATCTTCGCCGATCGGAAGAATTTGGTAGAATAAAAGGTATGGAGATTCAGTTTTCAATGCTTGCTCAATGTCAACCAGTGTCACTCGTTCGGCTGCCAGATCATCGAACCGCATCCAGTGTTTTGATGTCTCCGGGGCTTCCGGGTCAGTCGTGAAAGGAGTGCCACCATTGGGGCAATTAGTGCCTCGAACGATGGAAATATAATGTCCCGAGTCAACGGAGTTGCCCCTGTGGCAGACCAGAGCCTGCAAAGAGAGTTTGAAGCTCCCATAGATAGGGGCATTCGCATCCAAGTTATCATCCTGGATGAAATGAGGGAGGCCGATCTCGGTTGGTATATCAACGTGTGTATTGAGTCTGACTGCCCTGCCGTCTGGCGAAAAGGAATATCGTTTCAGACACATCCCAAGAATGGGCCGTTTTGAAGAAAAGTGGGCTGCAACTTGCGCGTCGTTAGTTGGGGTATTTTCGGTATACCATGCTAAGCAAGATCAGGTCAGTTCGCGCAAACCCCCCAAAAACAGAACGAAAGGAGATCACATACGTATCAAGCTGAAAAATTGCCACGCAGGCATCATTACCTCTTTCTTGTATGAACCCCTTCGCGGCTGGGTATCTCCACTGGTACCTTTCTCCGGTTTCGAATCTCCGTTGTTTGTATCGTCACTTGTATCTGGAAAGAACCGCTCACGAACGATACTACCTCGCCGACCAGGTGTCCGAGCCGCCTCGAGAGATTCGGTGAACTCACTGAACGATGACCAGGGGTTTGGTTTTTCAACCCGCGGCGTATTCGCTTGAGCGGGAGACATAGTAGGTGTCGTCTCAATCTCCACCGTTTCAACGTGTGAGGTAGACCCCTTTGATATGGAGTGTGAATCCATTGATCTAATCGAGCTAGTGGTGTTTCGTCGTGCCATGTGCCGTTTGACCTCAATCATGTTGTTGAAATAGGCTTCTAGACAGTCTTCTAGAGTGAGTGACTGTCCATCGGTTGGTTCAGGAGGTATGGCAACCTCGAGAAGCCTCTCATTGATGAACTTATGGTCATCACTTTCATCCTCTTTTCCAGTATGGTAAATGTCCATCTTCAAAGTCAGAAGTGGCAGTTCTAATTTTTCGGTGATGAAAGTGAATGCCTCTGAAGCATCCTGTTGCTGAAGTTTGGCAGCATCTTCCCAACCACATTCTGCTAGGGCTTCCTGTAGGTATTTGGTCTTGGGCCATATAGTTAATACCAATGTGAAAGAAGAGGACAACCACAAGTGTTGTAACTAACCATATCTGTCTTTATGAGCTTGCCTGATCGCAGCAGGTTCACCCACAGCCTCAGAAGGATTGCAAGCTTCCGACGAGGCTCATCATTGAACGATTTGTAAAGGATAGCCTCAAAACAATCGAGACGGGCAAACATGGCGAATAACAACGCGTCCAAATAGCAAGTGACACCTTGACGGTTCTCTGCACCTAGGAGCTTCGTGTTGGGTGTGTAATTTCTGATGACTCCTTCAATAGAGTCTTCTAGCAGAAGCAGCAGGCTGAATGCCTTCTCTATGTCACCTTCCGTAGTTTGTAAAGCATAAATCATATGATCTTCCTCGATCGCGATAATTCCAAGTTGTTTAAGTCGCTGGGCGAGAGCTTTGACCTATATGTGAAAGTCGAATATTAGACAGGTGTAAGCTGACTGAAATGCGTTTAGGCCATACTTTGTTCTCATGACCGTGATTTTCTTGCAGTGTTGTCTCTGACTTAAAGAAGCCATGGAATAGAGGACGCGAAAGGATATGCGATGCCTAAGCAGCACAAATTAGTTAGTGCAAGATCTTGTATCTTGAAGCATCACAGCATTCTATGCAGACATACCTCCTCTTTGCTCTGCTTGTTTAACTTGCTGTGTCGGTCGCGACGCGTCAGAAACCGATGGATGCCACTCATTATTGCGACTGGAGGAGATCGACAAGCCTCCCGAGAGTAAACTTTCTAGATTGAAAGGAAAAATTGCAAGATCAGAAACATGCGGGGGTGATTAAGTAGACCTGTAAACTAGCTCCGAGCTTAGTCAAGGCTGCAGGATTTGTAGGAAGTGCACGTAGGATACATGATAAGCAGAGCTCTTCTGATATGGACACGCGTCGAAAAGAAGCACGCGACTGGGACAGAATGATTCGAAGTCGATGAACCTCCAGGTGATCTGCGGGGCAGAGTGGGAACAGGCAAGGCAGTAGCTTGGCCCTTTCTGCCATAGGCGGCATAATTAATACCCGAATCTTCGGCCACCGCCCGACAGGGCGGTCAGAATCGACTTCTAGAAGAACCTTAGAATATCCATGGACCTATGTACTATGATATTAAAGATGGCAAGAAAACTTATATCACCTCATCCCATAGTTAACTTAGTATTATCGACTTTATTAGTAAAAATCCCATTCAGTTGACGTTGAATACAGATAGATTGATTCTTCTTGAGTACCAAACCACTACAACTAGGCTGTGGTAGTCTGTATAAACTTGGTGTATTCCTGAAACAGAGCATAAAGCTTCCATATCCTTGAAGACAGTATAGTATTTCTATCTTGAAGGTTAGGGTTATCATTACACCGCCTGCTCCTTCGAGTAGCCTTCCAGAGACCTCGGGAGCTCCAAATGGTCCATTCCAGTGGCCAAAGATTGCTTATCCACCACCCCTAAGACCAATTCCGAGGATCAATCAAGTTTTATGAGCCATTAATTCCATGTGTTCAAGGAACATGTCCCACTAAATGTCCTTTCTTGCAGTCGTAAGCGTGGTAAATGACCTGGGGAACCAGCCCCATGCTTGGTAGTCGAAATTTAGTTAAATCGTCGCGAATACAGGTAGCATCTGTCCTAACAGTAAACATTGAACAGTTTCACCACTATAGAATGAGTCAAAATGTCAATGATGAAGAAAAAAATATCTGGGCCGAGCAATAATTGACCAACTATCCAAGGTCTCCATGGATGAAGGTTGGTGGGTATAGTGCCTGTTTTATAAGGCGCTGGCATCTGTATGCTCACGTGACTGGATTATCTGGCGAACAATTTTTGGGAAGGGTCCGGGATGATCACCAAACCATCACACCACATTTTCCACAGAATGGCTGCCAGAGAGCCATCCAGGTACCTAACAAGGGCTTTGCCCCGTGCCTCGGTGCCATCAATTCGCCCTCAAGGCTTTTTATCGCGCCGCAATGTCTCCGATGAAGCCCCGGCGAGACGTCTGTCGGACCACCTGACCGAGCTGGAATCGGCTTCGTCTCTGTCAACGACTGTCCCAAACAGCGCAGCAGCATCATTCGACCCGCTTGCACGAGCAGCCGCTCGCAAGAACCAGCTTCCCCGAGGCCGGTAAGAGCACTCCAACTACATCTCCACTCAAGCGCATTTGCAAACATGAAAACTACATCGGACACATGCAATGAACAATACCTAATCCGCTTCATTACAGATACCAATTCCGCTCCCCCAAATACAACCGTGGTCCCCTCCACCCTCACCAACCGCCGCCACCATCCCACCCCTCCTCCCGGCTGTTCGTCCCAGGCCCCTTCTCCGCGCCCCGAGCAGAGCAGACCTTCGAATCAACAGTTGCCGCCGACATCATGACCCTGTGCTACGTGCACACACCACCAGGCTTTAAGCCTCCCCCGAAATCGGCCCGTCTCCGCGAGTGGGACGACAGCTCGCCATACCACAAGAACCGTGTCCTCCGCGGACCTCGTGGCGGTGACGTCCTGCGTCTGCTCCGCAAGCCGATCAAGTTCAACAACATTCCCGAAATTGAGCGCATCACAATCCACAGTTACGTCAAGAACGCCGCGGCTGAGAGGAACTCGTCTTGGCTGCATGTTGCTGGTATCGCTGTCCAGGCTATCTCTAATGTTCGCGTTGAGACTTTCAAGTCCAAGTCTAACGTTGCTCCTTGGGGTATTGCGGCGAACCGTGACTCTGTCGCTGTTAAGGCTGAGCTGTATGGCGAGAATATGTACCACTTCCTCGGCAAGCTGGTTGATGTTGTCTTGCCCCGTATCAAGGATTGGGAGGGTGTCAAGGGTTCCAGTGGTGATAGCAGTGGTAACATCACTTTCGGTCTGGTGCCGGAAAATGTTGCTCTGTTCCCCGAGCTTGAGGTCAACTACGATATGTAAGTGTGCTCCACATTCTATTGTCGTGTCAAGACTAACCCTGTTTCATAGGTATCCCCCCAAGATGATCCCTGGTTGCCACATCACTCTTCACACTACTGCCAGAACTGACAAGGATGCCCGACTCCTCCTGAGTGCCATGGGTATTCCTTTTTACGGCAAGATTGTGAACTAGATCGTTTCTACCTGGTGACTACTTTTGGTTTTTATTATATCTCCTTTTGGATAGTCTTGTGATATCCAGCATGTAACTTTAGAGAAGACCTGCATAATGGTCGTTGTGATTATTCGGAATCGTGTACTATCTTTGGCTTAAATTCAATCTACATTTACAGCGAGCAACACTACAATAGGAGTCGGTTGCATCAAGTCCTACCGAGAAGGAAGCGACCCAGATAATCGTTCAATAAACGGGAAAGGCACCATCATACGTAGAATCATATTACATACATGCATCGATGAGACATGGGAGAAAAACGGAAAGGAAACCGTAGCTACCGCTAATTATGCGATAGGTGCAGCTAGGAACTCGCACTGGAGCAATTCATCAGCACTAGGCCGCTGCTCGTAGTCCAGGTGGAAAGTCATGTCGAGGAAATCCACAGCCTCCTGGCTAACATGATCTGGAGCAGGGGGGCGGGCCTTGTTGCTCCCGATAGCGAAAATGGCTTGCAGCTGACTGCAGTCCGGGAAGGGATGGGCACCGATAAACATCTCGACGACGAGACAGCCCAAACTCCAGATATCGGCTTTCTTGGTGTGTGCGGTCTGTCGCACGACTTCGGGTGCCATCCAGTACACACTTCCCTGGAGGGATGTACGGTGGATATGGGAACCAGCGCCGCCACTGGCGCGGGCGCCAAGGAGGTGGGATGCTTCGACACGCTTGGAGATACCGAAATCGGAGATCTTAACACCGCCCTTGTTGTCAACTAGAATGTTGGCACCCTTGATATCACGGTGGATGATATCCCGGCCGTGGAGGTATGACAGACCGGCCAAGATTTGTCGAACAAAGTTCTTGACGAGGGGCTCTTGGAAGGTGTTGTATTGCTTCAGCATGGTGGCAATAGACCCACCAGGCACATACTCCAGGAAAATGTTGAGATATTGATCGTCGGCGACGGTACCAAGATATTGCACAATGTTCGGGTGAGACATGCCTTGTAGCAGCTCAATCTCGTGTTTAAGAGCATTGACCATGAGGTTCTTTCGCTGGTCAAACTCTGTGCCCTTAGTAGCAGATGGGATTTCAACCTGCTTGACAGCCATAAGCTCTCCAGTAATAGCATGAAGAGCCAGGTAGACGCTTCCGAAAGAACCCTCGCCGATTAGAGAACCCTTCATCCAGTTCTTTGGTGCGAAATTATTTCCAGCCAGGAAGTCCACAAGGACATCATCCTCTTCTTCGCCATCTTCGGCTACAATCATGCTCATCCGATCGTTAAAGGAACCGCCATCTGTGGCTGCGACACTGAGACTCTCAAAGCTCTGGCGCGACTGGCGCGATGGATTTGGTTCGTCGGAGCCACTCTCAAAGGAGACATATGACTTCCGGTTAGGCTCAGTGGGTGACTCTTCCTGGAGTGGCTGAAGGGAACTGGATGCAATAGAATCCCGGTATGAAGCTTGGGGTAGGTTGAACTTGGAAACTGAAATGGGCCGCGGGGCTCGTACTGCCTGTGCCATTCCAGGGCCATGGAGCCATGCATCGGCAATACTGGGGATTGCAGGTAACTGGGGCAATGGCGGTAGAGGGGGGGCATCTTTCATACTCGATGCGACGCTGTAGTTACTCACGACACTCATACGACTTGCGGCACGACTCAAACGTTGAGATCTGCGCATGGTCTTCTCGATGTTTTCTCGGTCATGACTAGGGAAGAATGATTGCAGTTCGTGAATGATCATCTCACTTGGAGGTCTTTGTCCGAAGAACGAGCGGAGTTTAGCCACGGGGTTCCGTTCATTGTTCTGTCCTTGCGGTTCGTCAACACTCGAGGTAGATGGGCGATGTCGAGGACCCAGTGGAGAAAGCGGCTGCTTAATATTATGCCAAGATTCGCCGGTAAGTTGCTGGATCTTGTGTTTCTGGCGCTGGTTGGAATTGTTCAGAGCGTGCTGGTGGGTGGCCTGGCTTTCATCATATGCAAGCTGAGACGCACGCCGAAGCTCATCTTCATCGGGCTCCCCAGCATGGATCTTCCGTAGAATCAAGCGACCTCGCTCGGACTTGTTGAAACCATCGCAAATCTCCATGAGCTCCGATTCGGTGAGCTTCCGGCAATTTGACAGTTCTGGATCCAACCCGTCCAAAACATAGAAACAATAATTTCTGTATTGGTGTTCAGGAAGCTGTAGTTTCTTCAACACACACAAAATAACTTCATCTGGTGTTCTGCAGTTCCGGATATCCAAGACCTTAGTTTGTCCACCCGTGTGGATAACACGGATGACAGGAGAGTTTGTCGGTAGAGGGCCCATCGTGAGACCATCAAGGCTAGGATTTCGAGGATGGGAGCTTGGTCGACCTTCGTTCGGAGTACCGGGATTTCGGCCAGAACTTGAGCCACCTGAGGATGGATGATTAAGGTAGTCCTTGCGCCATAGACCCCTCTCGGAGTCACCGGCGGGTGGCGACGCAGGCTGAGACAGAGATTTGTTGTTCAGATAACCATCATCAGCCAGCTGAGATGTGCGTCGATATGGGAGGCGGGAATGAGTATAGCGGGAGGAATTTGAAAGCGCCGTGGATTCAAGCGCAGCTAGGGT